AGGCAATATTTCTAGCTTCCCATTCTCTCGTGCCCGCGAATACCGCCTGCTACGCAGGCTAAGGAAAGGGGGAAAAACGCGGGAAAATTGATAAAATGTTTTTTTTTGCTGTCGGCTATGGCAGCTTTTTTTCGAAAATATTACGGCTTTTTTCGAAAATATTATTTACAAAACTGAGCTTGACAGTTGAAATAATACTTCCGAGAAAATATAACATGATATTATTTAACGTAAAAGATGCTGGAGTCAATCGGAAAAAGAAACCTTTGTATACTATTGCCGTAGTTTGTATGGCCAAAACAAACGACCAAACAAGGCTACAAAACGTCTACAACAACAAAACCGTAAGAAATATGAAACTCTAGTTGAAGAAATAAGATTGCAACTCATGCAGGTAATGTAAACTTCATTTTTCCCAAGCCGACGGCACGAAGCACCGTGCGAGGGAACTAATTCCCCCGGCTATTTTATACACCAGGGGAAACGAAAGCATTAGTGAAGTCTAAATTTCATGAATTATCGCGGGGGTGGGTGACCAACGATGCTGGGGTGTTGGGTGGGTGGTCATTCTCACTGATCTCAAAACTATGGCGGATTCTCATGAATAGCGGACACTGATTGATCCAATTTAAAGTTTGCATTATAACGACTGCCAACCTCGTTCCCAGGGCTTTCTTATGAGGACGAGGCGAGGCACGAGAAAGCCCTGGTCTGGGCCGGTCACGTCACTACCCAAAAACTGGCAGTATTTGACAGCTACTCGTCAAGGAGTGGCAAGATATTCTTTAATGAAATATACAAGTCTTCGAAACAAATAAATAGCCAAAAGACTTCTCAATCGATATTATTTATGTGTAGAGCGAAGTTTGGCACGAATCAGCTCAAATCTCTGAAGACCCCGTATATGTTTTCTAAGATAAATCGATATTACTGGAGATTTTCAACCACAGGCAAAGCCGCATCCGAGCTGCATCTAGGCGTCTCCCTGCAGGTTGTGATTCACACGAAATTCGATTTCTCTCGTCTTGAACAGTATGGGCTATTGCTATTAATACTTAGTTTAAATATGCTCTTATAGATCTGACTTAGTTCAATATAAATGAACGAAAACAAATATAAAACCTCGCGTAACCTGTTTACGCTGTACAGGAATATACGGATTCGCTTGTTTCACCGGACACCAACACTAGTTGCCGTTCAGCAGCAATGCTTGCCTACAAATTTTATCCTCGTCACAATCTTTGTTTTATTTTATCGTATAGTCGCAATTTTCAAGTATTCGGAGTATTCTGAAACTGTAAAACTCGGTGGCGTAACCGATCTTATAGAGACTACGCTACATCGGCCTTAGACTTGCTCCAAGTCTCTCTTTCAGTTGTCATATAGTATCGATCCACTATAGTGTACATTACATGACGTAGGACGGAGAGGCGGAGCGAGAAAGAGAGACTTGTCAACTTCGGAAAATCTCGGTTCAAAACTGAACCGAAAATTCAAGACTTGCTTTAATTGTTTTCTGTCAGTGTTTATATATATATTGATCTACTACAGTGTAAATAACATGAGTTCCATAATAGTAAATAATGCAGAAAGAAATTGAAGGAAAACAATTAAAGCAAGTCTTGAATTTTCGGTTCAGTTTTCCAACTCCCGCCCCCCTCCCAGCCCAGTACGCCCATGCTTTCACTGTTTCAGCTCTCTCAATGCTTTCTATTCTATGTTAGTTTATAAATGGTCAAATAATATCTCTTTGATACACAACCCATATATCCTTCTCTTCCCTTATAAGTGATAGCTTATAGCCTTATACTTGTAAATATTGAAATATATTTCGGTTATTTCGGCAGTTTTTCAGATTGGAATTTTTCAGCATAATCAGCAATACGATACCTTACTTCCCATCTGCCCTGCACGCATAATTTAAAAGCTGGTAACGCCTATTGTCCCGTGGGACATCACAAAAACCTTTTTCGCGTTTAATACTTTAACGTCATTGTGAGAAAGGTGTATTGGTTAGGGCATCGAAGTAAAAGATTCTAAATTTGTGATCTTTGTATCTCATCTCGGACCATTCTCGTTCCCAAAGCCAGTTCCACTCAGTCACTCGTTGGGTTAGACAACTAGAGGGAGAGATCTGATTGGCTTCTCAGAGAACTGCTATTTTGCAGAAGTTGAGCAGTTTTCGGTGGCAAAATTATCTTATGACCATATGTGAACACAAGTACTTTGAACATTGTTACGGGTGCTAAAGCATCCCAATTCAAGAGCATGCGCTTAAGAAACTGCTGCAAGTTTTCTTACACTTCTCGTTCCGTGTGTCCCAGGGTATGGGGAGGACGCACGCAGCCGAGAGGCCCTGGGGACGAGGATGATCTCGTCCGGGAATTTTTACTCTGGTAGTCTGGAGCTGCTTTGTTTTGGACCGGCAAACTTTAAATGTGCTGTTTACATCAACAGGTGGGCAATTTGTCGACGCTGACCAAAAATGGCGGTTCATTTCTTCTCGAGTTGCCATTTTCGCATCGAAAAGCAAAAATATAGACTTTCGGAGAATATTTTAGCTGTTTACTATCAAATATGTTTGTGATACAGTTGATAATCTTACTGAGGAAGGCCAATGGTTTCTGAAACGCTAAGGTACGTCGAAATCAGCTTTGGAATAGACTATATATTCACCGGGGAAACATGAACAAAATGGATATTTACATCAACACTAAATTTTGCTCGTGCCTACAGAGCTAGTTGGATTAAAACAGATGTTAAGAAGTAAGTGAAAATGTGACCTTTGTGAATTATACTTTCATTAAAATGTTTCAGAAGGTCTGCTACTGTCAAACTACACGTGTGACAGAGCTGCCAGTATACCCACACTTCAATGTTTATGTTGAAATGACCCATCTTCCTTGAGATATAGCTGAAAATTTAGGGCATGCTTATCACTTGAAACTAGCTTTAAATCAAATTTTTATCTATAGTCTTTATATAAGAATTAAAATCATTCGTGGGAAAAATGTGCCAAAGGGTTGAAATTGCCTTTGTAAATGTACACCATTTTTGATATGTTTGGGTTAGTATTTTGAAAAGGTGTTCTGAAAGGAAAATATGTCTTGAAAAATACTGGATGACCCTTAAATTTTAACTAGTGTTATGTAAATCACAGAAAATTGAAAAAAGTCTGGTCCATACACAATAGTTTGGATTCTATGAGCTCCCGAATGCGGCTTATTTCAATGTTTACTCTGTTTACCTGGAAAAACATAGAAGATTGAATAAGTCAAGAATTTGACTATGTTCATCACCCAAAACCAGGTTTTTCTAATTGCTTTTTCACCTGGATTTGTGGCAATACCAGTTATGCGACCACGAATCGAAAAATGCGCGCGGCACTTTTTTGGACACCGAAGATGACAACATTTTATGTTGTCATATATTGCCATCCTCTTATCATAGTATAACTTAACTTATTTTAGTGAGTTTATTAAAGAATTGTGCTCACTATATGCCTGTAGTATCTAAGATTTTTTTCATAGCATCAGATGATAAATTTAAGTTCTGTTTTCTTTTATTTTTAGGTGAATTATTATTTTACATTCCTTTATTGAAATATCCAAATGAATGGAATGACATCAAGCTGGAGGACTAAATCCTATTTCCAAACTTGTTTTTGTAAAAATAGAAAATAACAACTTACTATGTGTTGTTCTAATAAAAACTATGGTTTTTGATATGCATATTTAATTTTTGAAATTACATTTCATTCTTTGTTAAAATGTGTACCAGGAATACTGAAATCTTTCAGATCAGCTAACAATACCTTTGTAACTTATATAGTCAAGTGTTCTATCTATTTCCGTTCAGAATAAACAAATGATGGGTAAAATATTAGATTAGATTTTTGCAAAAAAATGAGCTTGCCTATTTTCGAAGCATAAAAAGAAATAAAATAAAGCAAAAGTACTTATTTTCACTGTAAAACCTTTGGAATGCATACTCTTAATGTTTTCCACTAAATATTACAAAGTTTTCGTTCATTGAAATGTTGTTTTATCAGCTTTAAAACCAAATAAATTCACGAAACACTCCTAATATGTCGCCATATTATTTTCTTCGCGCATGTTCAGACCATGGATAATAAAATAAATGGATAGGACTCTAGCTGACGTAAGCAAAAACAACCCAGTTGCAATCTGTGACGTCACGCGTATTGCAAAGTTCTCGGCATTTTTGTTGTTTCGCTATACTTTCCGCTTTAAAAGAGTAATATTGAAGCATGTACTGGTCTAATAATTGTTTTAAAAACATGCCTAAGCCACGACAAAGTATTCAAGGTAAATGTTTTTCGTCTTTGTTTTGTATTTTTTTACATTTTGTAGCTACGAAATTGGCGTCCCCAATTTTAACGAAATTTGGGATGCCTTTTTCACTGTTTACTGCTTGAAATATTTGCTAAAATTGACTGGGAATACTTAGATATTTCATCGTAGAATGGCGTAGTTATATTCATTTGCTCTTTGACTAAAATGTTTAGCTGTATTATTGCTAAACATGCCGTTTTTGAGAATTTGGTTTGCAACTAGGTTTCAACATCCAATCACGCCATCAGCCCATTGAAAACATTAGATCACGTCAGCTAGTTTCCTATCTATTTATTTTATTATCCATGCTCAGACAAATTCCCCACCTGTTGTTTACATCATATATTGAAATTTTACGATTTAGAATGGGTAATTAAGTTCGGCGCCTGAACTAACACAAATGCGTTTGTCAGTTTGGGTTGTCGAGTCAGTTGGTTTGCCTAAATTCGAATTTAGTCCGGCGAGTTAAAAGGTGCCACGTACCATTCATAAACGTTGAGGCCCGGTTTAGACGCCGTGCTTTTCATGAGCTGAACTTAATTCATATTTTACTCGAGTAAAATAGGCGTACTTCCAATTTTGATTTAGACAGGCGTGCTTTTCATGAGCCATACTTAATAATTTTCCCCATTTACCAACCCCCCTCCCCATAAATAATGACCACTCCCTTACTTAAAAGAGGAAAGATCTATTGAAATAGCTGTGTACTGTATCTGGCATCATATACAGTAATGTGCGTATTTGTATAGTCCCAGCAAGTTAACGCTCCATAGAGCGTCTTGTTTGCCTTAAAATTGTTTTGTTTACGATTGTAAGTTTAGGCGGGAAATTTTCCGTGTAGAAACACGCTTCTCGACCAATCAACGCTCGCGTACTATAAATGTTCTATTTTATCATAATTTATGTATTTGGTACGGCTCATGTAAAGTACGGCAGTAATCAACATGATATGTGCTTCTGTTCAGCCGTGTAGCACGCCTGAACCAGGCAAACCTCTTAATTTAGCCGTGCTTAATATTAAGTGCAGCGCTTAATTGATTTAGACGCCGTGCTTCTCATGTGCTTAGTTCATTGTATTAAGTTCGGCTCATGAAAAGCACGGCGTCTAAACCGGGCCTGAGACGTTGTTTTTCTGGAATTTGTTATTTCGGGCTCAATCTTACGATCGAAGGCTTGCGTAGCCAATTAGTTTATGTCTGATGCATCCAAGAGAGAGACCATGTACTCAACACTAGCTATTGCTTAAATTTTTACAACCATTTATTTTAAGGACAATAGTATTTTTGCCCGTTTGCTATGGTAATAGAATAAATTATTTCAGTGAACGGTAGTCTACGTTAATGCTGGTTCTTTGACATCGATTGATTAAATTGGTCTGGAATATATATCTTTTGATTCCTTTCTCAAATCATGATCATGAAATGTGCTACCTGTATTTTGGGAAAACATGCATAAATTTTTTGTTACATTTTGATGTAAAATATATTAAACTATTAATGATCTATATATATTGTAATAGTCTAAATTTACTAGGATTGCACGAAGTCGTACTCATATTGTAAACAACACTATATAAGGAACTATTAAGGAATTGAACGAAGATTTATGCGAAAATACATTCAATAATCGAATATATAACAATGTATTTGAAATTTATAGTTGAAATTATTAAGAAAAATGATGAGAGTTGCATTGTAATACATAGAAATACAGCAATGTCAATGCGTATCGTATTAATTTATAAAGATATTATTTAGTCTATTTACACACTATATATACACACTACTCACTAGAACTAGATCTATAAAATATATTATGTCTATATCATATACATACGCATTTCAATTAATATTGTGACTGTGTTGTGTCAACTGTCATTGTAAAATTGCTTTCGTTTTTAAATTAAAGAAAAACGCTGCGATTTCAATAGAAATTGTAGATTAATTTACAGGAGAAAAGAGTACAATCAAGTCGAGTTATTAGTTATTAAAATTGGTACACTATACTACCCAGTCTGGTCTCACTTATAAAGTTATATTGGCGGTTTTTCTTGTGCTATAAAATTGAACAAAATATTTTCACAGTTTATGGAAATGAAGCCTAAAGCTAATAACTCATTTCGGTGGTTACGGTAGTTTCAATTTTTAGGACGTTTTTTTAAACGTCCCGTAGGTGCACCAGAGTGTGCCGTAGAAAGAAAATTGTTAGAAGATTTGCCTCATTTACACTTTGACTAATCTCTGCTAATTTTCGCAATGCACAACACACAAGTCCGAATGTAAACAAATTGCTTTGTTTACATTTTGAACTGGTATATTTGTAAAATATGATATACTAACTGAATATCTGACACTTTTCTGGTTCTCTATGCTTGTAAATGAATATAAACTAGACGTTTCAATTCAAAAAAGTTCGAAAGATGCAAAATTTGAGCAATATTGTCTGTGAGTTCCCCTTTGTTATGTGCACAACGGACTTTACAGCATCTTTAAATAATTTATAATTAATGGTTTGAAACACACACCTTCGCGCCCTTCTTGGTCAGATCAGTTAGAGGTGCTGCCTTCGCCGCATAATTGGGGATGAAGTCGCGATAATAACCTGTCAGCCCGATGAACGCCCTAACCTGTTTCTTGGTCTTTGGTCTGGTCGCACCTTCGATCTTTCTGACATTCTCTTCCTGCAGACCTCTGATCCCTTCCGAGACCTGGTGACCAATCACTTCGATGGCTTTCGCGCCCATCACACACCTTGTAGGCCTCGCCGTTAACTTAGCCTCGGACAGCCTGTGAAACAACTCATCCAGGGCTACCAAATGGCCTTCCCATGTCTCTGTGTGCACGATGATGTCTTCCACGTAGTTGTCGACATCGTCAAGGTCATCGATCAGTTTCCTCATTCCTCTCGCTAACGTTGCTCCCTAGTTAACCATTTCGAATGGCATTCTGATACATTCGTAGGTCCCGTCCGGTGTGACAAACGCCGTATTGGGAACATCTCTCTCCGCAACGGAAATTTTCCAGTACCCTTTGCTCAAATCAATTCTTGTGAAATATTTTTCTTGGCCATCTTTTGAAATATCTCCTCGGCAGTATTACCGGGTGCAGGGTCGAAAACCGTGAGACGATTAAGCTTCCGATAGGCAACGCACACTCTATTCGTACCATCCTTCTTACATACGACCACGACCGGTGACGCATAGGTAGACTTCGATTCTCTAATCACGCCCATCTGCAGCATTGCTTGGATATCCTCCTTTAGGGACTCTCTCACGTTGCAGGGTACCGCATACTGTTTGGATCGAATAGGTTCCTCGGACGTCACCTCTATTTGGTGTTCTGTAAGGTTACTATTGCCCGGCACGTCGGTGAAGATGTGTTCATATCGATCGATCAGTTCATCTAATTGGACTCTCTGTTCCTCAGTCAGTCGCTCACCTAAGACCACGTCTGCCACTGTTTCCTTCGGTACAGTGGGACCAAGTTCCAGCACTTCTTCGTCATCAACCGCTCCAGTGGATCCCCCGATGCTCGTCTCAATTATGGAAACTGCAGTTAGGTGAAAAACTGGGCCGCCAACACTGTCCCCTTCGTTGTCGCCGTCATCACCTCCACCCAATTCCTGCTTTCGGTTTTTAACATCATCAGCATTCTTTCTTTCAATATATTTCTTGAGCATATTCGCGTGGAAAGTCTTCACCCTTCCGCCGACCCTAGATTCCATAATCGTTGGTTCCAACAGTCTTTTCGACTTCGAATGGACCCTTCCACTGCATGAGGAGCTTGTTCTTATCAGCTTGTTCTTATCAGTTTTCAACCGTAGAAATAATTTAATTTACATTAGTGGCCACCAAACCAAAAAAACGCCCTTACTCTCTTCTCTACCGAATTTATTTGTTTCTAATTCAAGATCGCTGATCAGCAAGATTGACGAACTGTCTGCTACAGTAAAATCCTATACATCAGACATTGTCGTTGTTACCGAAACGTGGCTTTCTTCAAATGTTCCCAATTCAGCAATAGATTTATGCGGTTATTCCTTACTGAGGCATGATCGTTCTGACGGCAGACGAGGAGGTGGAGTCTGTGTCTTTGTAAAGGACATGCTCCCTTTCATTCATCTTAAAGAGATTGAAAGTCACGAATATGAGTCGCTTTGGTTACTCTTAAAACCTCACCGCTTGCCTCGTGATTTAAATTCAATTGTATTGGGAATCGTGTACCATCCACCTGGAAGTGACGATAAAGCCCTTCTTTCACACCTTACCGAATCAATTGATTCTGTCCTTTCCACCAATCCCGGTGAAGGAATGATTTTGGCCGGAGATTTTATCCAATTTAAACATCGCCAGTTATGCAGTTCCTTTAACCTCAAGCAGTTAGTCAAAGACGCTACTAGAGGAAAGAATATTTTAGATAAAATATTTACCAACATTTCTAAATTTTATAATTCTGCCCTGGTAATTTGTCCAATTGGACATTCCGATCATAATTCCATCGTTCTTAAACCTCTTCCAGCTAACTCTTATGGTGGCACAGGGTCTACACGTTAGTACGAGACTTTCGCCCAACCAATCGTCGAATTGTTAGCGATCATCTGTCGAAAGTTAATTGGTTACCTTTGCACCATATGGAATCTTGTGACGAGCAGTTCCAGTATTTTTCCAACATCGTAGATAATATCATAAACGAACATTTGCCTTGGAAACAAATCAAAATTGATTCTAGTGACAAGCCCTGGATTACTTCCGAAATAAAATCTCTCATTTCCAAGCGGCAGACAGCATGGGCGGCTGGCAATAACCTGATGTTCAGATTCTATCGAAACAAAGTCAATGCACTTTGCAAGAAGGCACGACTAAATTACTACAATAAAAGTATCGCGGGCGTTCAACAGTCCGATTCTCGTAAATGGTGGTCAGCGGTGAAGAATATTGCCGGTCTTCAGTCTTCTAAGAATGTATCTACAATGATGTTCCAAGGTAAATCCTACTCTGATGCCGACTTAGCAAATTTGCTCAACGACAAGTTCGTTGCTGTAGGGTCCTCCTTACCCAATCTAAACTGGTTCCCCCTTCCCACAAATGACATTCCAGATGATTTGTGCATCTCTGTCGAGAAGACTGAAAAGGCCCTATTATTATCTAAACTTCATTCATCTGCTGGTCCTGATGAAATTCCTTCTTGGCTTCTCCGCGAAAACGCTTCAGTGTTGTGTCGACCTTTGTGTTCTATTTTTAATTCATCAGTTCGTGAAGGATTTGTTCCCTCAATATGGAAGGCAGCAAATATTACACCAGTTCAAAAATCTTCGCCTCCTAAAGATGTTGATTCTGACTTCAGACCAATTTCCCTCACACCAATTATCAGCAAGATTCTTGAATCCTTTCCTACAAATGGCTACTTGACTCCGTCTCAAAAAAAATTGATTCCTTGCAATTTGGTTCGCTGAAGGGTTCAAGCACTAGTAT